GGGGGGTGGGGAGTTTTGCCCATCATTAGGACCTAGGGGTCAGAGCAGGTATGAGGGGGTAGGGGGCATGGCAGGTGTCACACAGGTCTGGGGGAGCAGCAAGGGCTCAGGATGGACCATGGGGTTCAGGGGGCTGAGAGAGCAACAAGCTCAAGGGCAGGTCAGATCTAGCTTCGGGATGGGGACAGGTTTGGGGAGCATTGGGAGGGGTCACACATATCGGGAAGAAGCAGAGGGTCAGAGTCCCATGTGTGGGGGCTGAGGGTGGTAGGCCACAAAGCGATGTCAGAAGGCCTGGGGGTCAGGGCAGGCTGGGGGGCGCAGGAGGTATGGAGGGTGGGTCACACAGGCCTGGGGCATAAGAGAATGTCCAGATGGACTATGGGTAGTGGAGGGATGAGGGGGCAAGCACAAGGTGGGGGTCAAATCCAGCCTTAGGTTGAGGTCAAGGCTGAGGGTTAGCAAGACCAGGGCAGGGGGTGATAACAGGTGGTGGGGCAGCAAGGGTCAGGGTCCTAGGGAGGCCAGTGGGTGCTGGGGAGTGACAAGCACAAGGAGGGGGGTCAGATCTCAGCAGGGCTCGGGGGTGGGGGCAAGGCAGTCCTAGGGACATGTCTCCACCAGGGGAGCAGAGGTTGACCTACCCTCTGCCCCAGGATGCCCCTGAGAGGAGGTGCAGGTATGACATCCATGCACCCCCTAGTTCTTCACCTTCTCTCCAGTCTCCATCTTACACACCCATGAGCAATCTCACCCCCCAAACCCTCTCTCATTCCCCTGAGGGAGGCTGCAAGGGCACCTCAGCAGCCCCAATGCACCCCCACTCCATCCCTACCACCTGGAATGGGCTAGGCCCCTGGTTAGGAGCTGATCCAACATGGGTATCATGAGAAACAACTCGGCCACCTCAAAAGCCCTCATGACACACAGTCCACTCTCACCTTACAAGGCCAAGCTGCCAACACAGTTGGGAAAACAGCCCCCAAAATTAATAAAGACAGGGCTTGTCCTGGTTCGAATGAAGCAATTCCATCACAGTTCACTTGGCTCATTGCAGGCAGCGGGGGCAGGACCCAAAGCGCTGTGGGTGTTGCACCCACTGCAAGGCTGAATCAGCTTTCCAAAAAGCAAACAAGCAGGAGAGGATTGTTGGGAAAGGAAGTGGCCAGGCCTGTCCAAGGGGAGGCAGGCGTGGATTAGCAATGGGGGTGGAGGTTCCTAGAGCTCAATAAAGGATTCGCCAGGGCTGGGAACGCTGGAGGACATCCGTCACCTCCCCTTTACTGCATGACATCGAGCGATTTATGACCGAACTGGAACTGACTGGTTTGGCAAAAGGGATGCAGAGAGGAGCAGACACAGCATCACGGCAAAACCGCTCCTGCGAGGTGATGGGGAAAGTTGTGTTATTTTAAAGTTGCTAATTTATCATACTTTGTTAAGTCGGTGCAGCAAATGGCTTTGGGAGTGCTGCCTGCTTGTGCAAGCTGCTTTTCCTGTGCTTTAATCTGTTTTTTTTACAGTACAAGAGCCACTCCGGTTTCAGCTCCTGCTCTGTAAGGCACATTTTCAGCACGACCAGTGGCAGGAATTTGTAACATAAATAATTAGATAAATAGTGTTTTGTGTCTGTGTTGGGCTGTGGGTTTGTTTTTTTTTTTTCTTTTAAGAAAAAATCCTGGAGTAAATATTCCATCAGCTGGTAGCTAATTACAGCCATTTAGGGAACGTTAATTAGGACCACTTGCAGTGAACATTGTTCAAGGAGGTTTAAATTTCATTTGTGCATTTCAGTTTGATTTTGGGTGGAGAGAGGAGAAGTTGTGGGGACTTTTAACCCAATAAAGGGACTGATCCCTGAACCTCCCAGCTCTTCTGGACTCCCCTTCACAGCCCTTAGAAACACCTTAGGACACAAACACAAACAAAGGGAGCAGTTCTCCCCCTCAGAGTGCTGGGCAGGAATTGGACACCAGTAACACCCAATCTATGGTACTGTACCCCACCTTTGTGTTTTAGGGGAGATGGAGGACACTTCAGTCTAATTTTTCCTGTGCTTTTTGGACAGTGCTGGATGAGGCACTTCTTCCTCCTTCTCCGTGCATTGCCAGGGACTGCAATGGCAGGTATCACAATGCCACCAGTATTTCCATGTAAGCCACCAGAAGAAACTTTTGCTGTCATAGAATTACAGAATGGTTTGTGTTGGAAGGGACCCCAAAGCCCATCACATCCCACCTCCTACCATGGGCAGAGACATCTTCCACCAGACCTAGTTGCTCTAAGCCCCATCCAACCTGGCCTTGGACACTTTCAGGGATGGGGCAACCAGCCACAACCTCTGTCATTTCCCAATGGTTGTTTGCTCACTGTCATTTTCACTGAAATCACAGACCAATGCCCCTCTTCTCCTTCCTTCTGGCAGGACCAAATTCCCAGGGAGAACCTCCTGAAGAATCCACTGCAGCCAGGAATGTTTTCCAAGACATCCCTTGAGGTACCACTGAGTTTCCGGCCTGTCAGAGTGGCCACAGTCCTGGGCTCTGCCAGGAACAGGAGCTGGTGACATCTGATAAGGAACAGATAAACTGAGGTTGCACCATCCTCCTCCTGACTCCCCCTCTCCTGCCCTGCATTCCTCTGGAATAACTGAGATTTCTCTTCTCACTTTCAAATTCAGGACTGGGGCACATCCACTTCAGAACATTCTGGAAAGGCAGCCCTTGTGTTTTGCAGTCCAAGGGCTCTGCTCCTGGATGTCCAGCAGCTCATCCTCTGCTGTAGTCATATCCTTCCTGACGCTCATCTGCTGCACACTGAACTATGGTCCTCTCCACCTTCATCCTCTGAGAAACAGCTCAGAGCAACACTTCCAGATGAAGTTTCCTTTCCAAGATGCCAAAATTGCACCTCACACCAGACATGGCAGCTGGTCCCTTTGTGGCACAGAGAGGGAAGGAATCAACAAGTTTCAACTGTATTTCTGGCTGTAAGCAGGAATTTCAGAGCAGCCTTTAAGGATTCCACTTGCTGTCAGCAGAGTAGAGGTAGGTACAAGGGATTTTAGACAACTTTGTCAGATAACAGTACGAAGGAAGTTACTGGATAAATTTCCCAGTGATCAGTGATCTCAGAACTTTTTCCTCCTACACTCCATCAGGACACAGCTCTGAAAGGGGATGCACTGCACTGCACAGCCCAGCCTGGTACAACACTTCCAACTGTGCTGTGCCAGAGCATCTGAGATTGGGCTCCCTGGAACAGCAAAGATCTCTCAGGTAAAAATATAATTATCAGTGTTGACACATCACACTTGGACTATTTTTTTATTATCTTCTCTGCCTGGGAGCTGATCCCCCAGGTTTGGACTCAGCAGAGAATTGGTGGACTGTTTGGGTTTTTTTTAATTGTTAGGTGTGGGTTGGTTTTCTTTTGTTATTTTTTTTTTTTAAATAAGAAAAGCCAACTTATTGGAATGTGCTTCTGGTCAGAAACAGTCAGTTTGTTTCTGTTCTTACAGGAAAGGTTTGCTCTTCGAAGTGGCTGGAATGTGGAAACAGTTCATCACTTCCTACAGGAAATTTTTTGATCCAATTAAAAATTCTAATGTCAACTTCCACAACACTACTTCTAAAAGCTTATAAAGCCTCAAAACTAAAGGTTTTGAGGTGTAAGGTTAGAAATCAAGACTCTGTTGAACTCAATTTGATTTCCCCATTGTATTACAGTTAGGGAGCAATTCCTGTGTGTTTCATGTTCTGGCCCAGCAAGAGAAAAGACTATTTGGGCCTCCAAGAATTCTCATGCAGGAAAACTCCTCTTTCCAACCCACACTTGGAGTGATGCATGAAACTATTCTGTTTTCTTTAACTTTTTCAGAGGCCCTGAGCTCTGGTCCCCATCCTCCCTTCAGAGGAGCTGGTTATGAGCAACAGAGTATGTACATGGCTGACCAAATATCTCATCCATGGGGACAAGCCAGCTCTCCTCCACCATCAGCTCTGCCAAATTGCTCCTGTGCACATCCTGCTCTCCAGCATTAATGCCTCTGATTGCATTGCTGTGGTAGCTCTCTTCTTATCTCAGCCTCCTCAGATGTCAGTAATATCCCTAGTACACAGCACTTGTATCATGTTTTGAAGAACAACTCCACTGCCACAGCCATTTTCTTTGTCCCTGGATTTGACTGGAGCATGGAGCTCCCCTCCACAGGCACAGGACACTCAACAAAACAGCAGCAAGTTTTGCTTGCACCCTGCCTTCACACCATAGCCTCTCTGCTAACCCACAGGTTAGATTAGACCAAAATTGGGTAAGATTTTTTTAGAGATTTTAACAGAGCAGATAACAAGTTCCTTCTGCCTTCAATTTTGAAAAGATAAAATGTCAGAAGTCAAGATACTGATCTTTTTAATGTGTTTTTGGTGACTTTTCTTTGTCTCTGCTTTCCAGGCTTGTGGAATACCCTAACTGCATTTTCCCAAGCATTTCTGTACTGCCACAAGGTCTGGAAATCTACTGATATAAGGTACACAAAAGAAGAGCTGAGATTCCTCAGCTTATTATAATCAGTGATATTATTAATATCAGTGATATTTTGACACAGGCAGCTGAGGACTGGAGAAAAACAACAAATAGCCTGAACCTTTAAAAGATAAAAGTTGGCATGAGTGATCTCAAATCCAAACATTTTACAACAATGGGGGGAAAAAAACCCCAACCAAAACCCACAAGAAGAATACAACACTCAACAGGCTTTTTAAGATTTTAGCACCAGGGGATGATGTCAGCTCCAGGCATTACATCCTGAAGAGGTCAACCCTTGTCTGCAAAAAAGGTTCTGTTAGACCTAATGAGGCACAAGCTGCCAGTGAAGATTTTTCTAAGCTTGGGGCACTGAAAACATGTCACCCTTGTGCAGATTCTTGCCTATTAAGGGTAGGGTTTCTGCCACACTAAGAAGTTAGTGTCTTTCCTCATTTTCCTTAGGGAGAAAACTGGTATTTGAGTACCTCAAAGATAACATGTCATTGCCTGACTCCTTCATGAGGCCATTCCGAGAGCCTCCACCCTCCCACACAATGGAGTTTATCTCTGAAGTTGTTCCTGCCCCTCCCTCTGTCTACACCTTCAGGTATCCCACTAGGGAGGCTTTGATACCCAAACCCAGTAGGAAAGCATCCAAGTCTCTCAGCCTGCAAAGAAGCATCAAGCCATGTGCAGCCTCAGAGCCCTGATCCAAGACAACACGTGTCCTGCTGCTGGAGGAGGAAGGCAGCTGTGTGCAGGCACCTGGAATTGTGCAGCCACCTGCAACGGTCCAGCCGAGGGAACGAAATCTCACAAGTAGGAAAGGAACACCTCTGCGATCCCAAAGCACACAGTACTGGAAACATCTGCTAGTTCTGCAAGCACATGAACCAATGTGATTCTCCTGGAAGTGCCAGCAAATCCTTCCCTGCCCTCACTCACTCTTGGATTCCCAGAATACCTGGTTTGTCACTTGCTTGTCTTTCTCCTGCATAAAATGGGCATAACTGTGGGAAGAGATGGGATGGAGTTGAGCTGCAGGCTGTGGCATGCACTTGCAGAAGCACATCGGAGCACAAAGAAGCACATGGCAGCAGAGTGGCTTGTCTCTACCTGATCTTGGGGACAGCAGGTGCCACGTGGCAGAGCCCTGCAGAGAGGAGCCTGCCCAAAGCTGACAGACAGGTGAACAGTGAGTGATCCCAGAGAAGGATATGAAGAAAACGTATTGCTGATGTGTGAGGTGTGATAGTGAGAATTAACATGTAAGGAAATACTGTGCCTTGAAAATGTGTATAAAACCAGCTTGTTTCTTTGAATAAACAATTCAGATTCCCTGCCGGACTGATTTCGTGCCTCAGTTGTTACATATAATAACACTCTACCTTACAGGGCTTTGGAAAGCCTTAATTAGATAAACTGCTCTGAGATTTGAGTAAGAGGAAAATTAAATCAACATCTTATTGTAAAGCAAGAGCTACTGCACACACTTTTTTCTAAGTATATTCAGCCTCTTTGTGAGTGTCTGCAAATACATTCCAACCTTCCTAACAAGGCTCATCTCAGTAGGGAAGAAGTCACCTGCAGTTGTGGAAAAGCCAGATTTAGTTTTCTGTGTAACTTCCATTGACCTCTTCACATCCACCACTGGCAGCGAATGGGGAAAAAGCCATGTGGCTGTGTAATTACAGATTGCAGTGAAGTTGCCCTGCCCAGGTACTGCTCCCCAGGTGAGGGGGATATGCAGCATGCCTTGAGTCTGGTCCTAGGGATGAAGGAGTCTGAAGGGAGATCAGGCAACTTAATCTCCAAATGAGGAAAGCCACACCCAGTGACCCTGTGGAAGGGTGGTACCTCTCTCCTTACACCTGAGCAGACCCCCTTGTGGTCAACATACAGCACAGAGGTGTTGGCCTGACCCCTGCAACCAGGGACTGCCAACAGCAGCTTCCTGCTTCACAAGAGCTGAATGTAAATTTCATATTCCAAAGATTTGGCAGTCCCCTGGAACTCCCTAACTTCCAAACAGCATGAAATTGCAAGAGCTACAAGCTCTTGCTTGTATTGCTACAAGCTGTCTTTGCTTTGGACGGCAAAGACAACCTGAATACAGCAGTCACACTCCACCCCAAAATCAGGATGCTGTTCCCATGCTATATGCTGGTGCTTGCAGTGAGGGGTTTTGGGGGTTAACAACAGAGAGCACAGTTTAGGACAGCAGGGCTCAAATCTCACCAGGATTTTCTTCTTTCCTGGAAACAGCCAACAGGCTGGGAGCTGCTGGCAGGTGCTGACATGTAAGACTTGCCAGTGAGCTTTGCCATCACTGCTTTCCAAATGCTGCCATTTCCCGCTCATCCCACTGCAGGTCAAAGACCAAGAATAAAAACCTTCACTGGCATGACAACTGCCATGCCATACAATCCCTGGGCAAGAGGGAAAAGCAGAGGCCCACATGACTCAGATTCCCTTGCCTTTCCCTGTCTGTATTCCAGCCAACTGTCCAGGCCTGGCTCATGCTCTTCTGACTCCTGCTGGATCCTATTTAGTTCAGATTAGCACTCCTGCCTACAAAGGTAATTTCCTGCAATGTGTCCCACTTTTTAAGCAACACAAGCTCCCATTCAGCCAGGCAGTTACATACAGGCAGTTACTGCCTTCAGCGAGAGCTAAAAACATGAACTCCAGAGCTTTGCTGGTTAAGCACAGAGCTAACAACTCATTTTCGTCCAGAACACTTCACTTTGCAGGAGGGCCTTCAAAAAAAATCCTCCTAATCCTCATTTTTCTGGTAATTTCTATCTTGCCCTGAAACACAGTTAAAATCAGAACTTCTGTTGAAGCTAGTATCTACACACAAGGATGGGTGCCAGGCACCCCCATCAAGAAAAAGGAATTTACAACAGCAAAAATGGTCGTGATTGTGGCATCCTCCCTCATGGACTTATTTTCCCCAATATGGCAACCAAAAATGTTGGCACTTCTCTGACTGAGATATCAGATCCTGCTGACTGATCAGAACAAAAACTGCATGACTCAGTTTCCCTTTATCTGTGTTTACAGAGATGGAAGGATGGTCCCCAAACCTCATAACTTGATCCCTGCAGCCCCATCCTCACTTCTAGGCAGTAAAACCCATGCATCTTTCAGTAGTGCTCAGGAAAAACAGTTAAGTTCAGTTTGGGTCAGCAATTCCTGTAGGCAACCCAGTGGGGACAAGCCAGGGCTCATCCCAATGCCAATGACAGCAAGAAGCTCTTCCAGTTTTCATTATGATGCAGTGCCAAAAGCTGCTGGTGTGTGCACAGGGAGGTTCCCTCTGCTCACACCTCTCTTCTATTGAAAATAATCAGGTCTCATTAATCCTAGAGCTCTAGAACTCACTGCAGATTAGAAATGGTGGTGGCATACCCAAAGGTAGAGCAGAATTATTTGGGAGAGAAGATAATTGTGTCTGATCTCACATGCCACTGGTCAAAAGAATTTGATGACCACTGTTGTAACAATCCAAATCACTATGGATGACTGCTGCTCTCACTTTGCTGTGCTGTCAGGAAGATCCTGTGAAAGCTCCAATTTGCAGTGGAATTTACAATTTACTTAATTTTGAAGTGACAGCATCAGAAATACCCCCCAGCCCCTTGCTCACATCACCTCCCCTGCTCCCTCCTGCCTCCCAGTTCATAGCCTATCTGTGAAACCGCAACGCTCTGAGAAGAATGATGTACCTGGGGAGGCAAATCCTGGCTGGATCAAAGTCCTCTCTGAAGGACTAGCTCCAAGTCCAAATCCAAGTCACAGGCTTGATGGCACCATCCCTACATGAAAGGATTATGTGAGGGGTCACAATACGTGATGATAAAGTTCCCTTCCAGCCAAAACATTCTATGAATCTCCAAGGAAATCCACCATCTTCTGGCAAGAGCCAGGACCAGATTTTCCAAAGTGTAACAATGACTGGCTCCAAGATCGCTGGGGCAGTGCATGTGAAGAACTATGAAATCATCTCTTCTGCTTGGGAGGTTCATCAGGCCACGCTGGCATTGCCCATAAGCCAGAGACCACAACACTTGGAATGCTGGGAAGAAAACCAGAGCAGAAACACTCAGAAAGGCTTTAGAGTTAACATCACTGTGCTAAGAAGGAAGAGGGGAGAAAAAAACCCCAAAACACTAACAGCACTTGTCTTTTCAGCATGGTAAAAGCCAATTTGGAGATTTCCTTTGAGCATGCTGGAAAGCTTGAGCAACCCAGCCTGCTCAGCAGGCCCAAGGTGGGAATGGCAGAAACTGCTGCAAGTCAGGACCAAGGTACCTGAGCAGAGCTGTGTGGGAGGCAAGGCCCGGAGTGACAGGAGACCCAGAGCTTCTAAGAGAACAGGAGCTGGAAGTGATTAGTTAAGGAAGCTCAAACAGTATCTGTCTGTAGGAGGCCTGGTTCAGTTCAAGGCCATTAACTTGTTGCTTTCTGAACACCACGAAGAGGATACAAAACAAAAGCATGTCTGCCCAGCATGGGCCCTCCTGAGTGACTGCTTAAATACTTCAGGAGAACTAAGAGCATTAAGAAAGGCAAAACGCCACTTCAATGGCTCCAGGCTCACAGGGCTGCAAGCTTTTGCTTGAAGCCCAAGTTAAAACCAGGCAACTGGGATATAGCCTTGAAAGTACAAACAAATAAGCCTTCATTTTCTCCCATTCAGGAGTATGAATTTAAAGGGGAGTCCATCAACTTTACATAAATCATGTTTATAATTAAAAACATATTTTCCTGCACTTCTAACAAGACTTTGGATAATTAAAAAGGCATTTTTCAAATGACTGTAATTTACACTGATTATGCTGATCGTGTACCCCAATAATATTTCTTGCAGGGAGATAAACCTATCCTGGGAGGAGGTTTTCTTTCAGGAACTAAGAGGGAATGGACCCCAGGGACCTGCCTGAGGCCTCAGTAGCACACAGGAGGTCTGTCACTGAGGTGGTTACATGAGTCATGTGCGGTCCAGTGCTCACAGGGCTTTTTGCCTGATTCCATGCCTGGAGAGGCTGGGAAGACTTCAGCTTGCTCACCTGCTACCAGAGGACTTGAGCTGTGGTTTACCTAGAGCTTCCTCAGCCCTGCCAGGAAACCATATTTTGTAGGTTTAGTATGAAAACACAGCAGCAACTGCAGAACTTCTGGGGTGGGTCGGACTTGTGCTCAGCAGAAGCCAAATGTGCCTCAGAAGAAACAAGTTTTACCTCCTCCTGTTACATTTGCAGATGCTGGAAAGGTTCTTGGCTCTTTAGAAAATACACTACAAACAACAAGAATTCTCTTTCTAGTTATTTGATTCCCATTCTCTCCCCCCAAAATAATTTGATTTGATTCAACATTATTTAAAAGAAAGAGATATACAAAAAAGCAGTGGCACATTTCCATTGCCCCTACACTGCAGCCTGCACAGATTGAATGGATTCCCTGGGTTACCCTTCCCAGGGAGGGCTGAAATGCCCTGACTCAGAAGCCTTCAGGTAGCAGACAAAGCAATACCTGCAGGATGACACAGTGAAACGGAAGTTAGGAATTCATCATGCCCAGTAGGAAGTACTGCCCCAGTCCCTTCCAAGGCTTCCCAAATCAGGGTGTTCCTGGTCCATCTCTCCAAGGCTCCTGCACGCTTTCCGAAACCAGCAGTGATATTTCCTCAGCTTTTTACCCCTTGTCTTGGGTTACAGTGTAGGATGCAACCAAAAGCATTTATTCTATCACCATCTTTATAAGCAGTTAAAACCAGGTGGGACAGTGTTCTTTATATCTTCCATGACATTCCTAATAACTCCCTCGAGGGGATATCTCTCTGCTAATAAGCCATCAAGGCCTGACTGCATGACTCATAAAATGACATCATCCCATTGTGAAATGCTCCGCCCAGGGGGAGGAACCAAGCATTCCTTCCTGGATAGAATCTGAAGTTTGGAACGCCACAGTCAGCCCTTACCTACTGGATTGCCAGAGGACAAGAGCTCCATAACCACCACGGAACCTTCAGAGGAAGACCAGACCCTTCTACAGGAATCACTGCTTCAACAGAACCACATCTATCACTTCAAGAGGACTGCAGTTTAAACGAACTGCTACCACCACCCTGACCAGCAGGGCATCAGGTTGTATCCTGACTCAGTCAGATTAAGCCAGTGTTTTCTGCCTTTAATTTTCCTGCTAAATTGTAATTCTGACCTGGGATCTCCCATTGGTTTGCTTTCAAACTAGCACACCCTCTCTCCTCTAGTTCAAGATAGCAGTTATTTCATAACCTATGTGGCTCTAGAGGTGACAATGTCGAACTCCAGTGAGTGTCCGGCTAACATAATACAGGGGAATGGCACTTCAGCCAGCATGACACACAACACATCTTGATGCTTCATGGACTAAAATAATGCAAGAAATACCAGACAAGGCTTTTTCTTCTTCAACTAAAGGGCAGGCACTAGTGAGACTTGAAACAGAAGAAAACAGTAGTTCCCTAATGGTGGCCCAGGCTCACACATGAGGCTTTTGCAAGCCTGATTTATATGAATCAAACCCCCACTGAAAAGCCTGAAACTTATTCTAATACTTGTCATACCACACCCTAAAAGTAACAGAAGAAAACAAGCTGAGATAAAAGGTATTTGCTGTCAAAGACACAGAAATACCTTCTGAAACCCAATGTTTGCTTCCTCTAAGAAATTAAATCAGAGTGCAAAAATTAAACATCCTGCAGATTTCAGATCAAAGAAAGTATTCATCTGCTTGGGTTAAGCACATCACCATGACAGGGCAGTTTGTTACCCAGGACCTGCAGCCAGTAGAAAAAGCAGGCAATTATTTATAAAGCCTGGTCCTGTTAGCTACTTCTGATCTGCTGCGCTCTGAAGGTGCCCCAAAACTCGCATCGGCACCAAATGTTTGAAAACCTGAACTATGCCCGAGAGGAATTTATAGCACCTGAGCTATTGTGTGCTGGCTCCCTGGGAGGACATCCCTGTGGACAGTGAGGGCAGAGCAGCATCCTTTACTTTCTCCACAGGTTATCTCCACACCTTGAGGCATCCAGGGAAAGCTGGTACAGAGAGACTCATAGTCTCAGTTCCTGCCCTCAGATCAATGTATTTTAACTCATGGACTGGCACACAGATGAATGACTAGGAAATAGCTGCACAAGATAAGCTGGCCAAGGGATTCGCATGAGTGAGCAGTTGCAGAGAAGAGCAGACTTATCCTTTGTATGTTTTTTCAGACAAGAGACGAGCATACAAGACAGAGGTCAGAGCTCTCCTGTTTCATGTGGAAATCCAGAGTATGAGCAAGTTGCTACTCAAGCTGGTAAGACACCATGACCATCTCTTATGTTAAAACCACAATTTTCTTTTTTAAACTCAGACCAGTAGCATGACATTTGCAGGGCTCACTTCAAGACTGTGCTCTTCAACATCCACATTAATGACCTGGAAGCAGGACTTGAAGGAATACTAAGTAAGTTTGCTGTCTGCACTAAACTGGGAGGAGCTGTCAAATCTCTCAGGGGCAGATAGGGCCTTCAGAGAGACCTTGACTAATTAGAGAAGTGGGCAATCACCAATCATGGGAAGTTCAACAAGGAAAAGTGCTGGATTCTGCATGTGGGAAGGGGCAACCCTGGATGTGTGGACGGACTGGGGAATAAGGCTGGAGAGCAGCTGCAGGAAGGGGCTCAGGAGTCCTGGTCCATGGCAAGTTGAACATGAGTCAGTAGTGCTCTGGCAGCCAGGAGGGACATCTGTGTTCTGAGGGCATTAGGTAAAGCATTCCTGGTCAGGCAGGGGATTGTCCTGCTCTGTTTTGGGACAACCTCACCTCAAGTGCTAGGGGCAGTTTTGGGCATCACAATATAAAAAAACACATTAAGCCACTAGAGAAGGGCTATGAGAATAGTGAAGAGCCTTGAGGGGAAGCCGTATGAGCAGTGGCTGAGGGCACTTGGTCTGTTCAGCTGGAGGAGACTGAGGTCAGACTAGGATCTTCAACATCCTCCTGAGGGACAGCAGAGGGGCAGGAACCAATCTCTTCACCCTCCTGACCAGGGATAGGACTTGAGGAAATGTCTGGAGCTGTGTCCAGGGATGGCTAGGCTGGAAATCAGGAAAAGGCTCTTCCCACAAAGGATGGTTGGGCACTGAACAGGCTCTTTATGGAATGGTCACGGCCCCAAAACTTGCAGAATTCAAGGAGTGTTTAGACAATGCTTTCAGGCATGGGGTGGGATTGTGTCCTGTGCAGGGCCAGGAGTTGGACTTGATCTTCATGGGTCCTTCCCAACTCAGTATATTCTGTGATTCTATGATATCTAAAATACAGCTTGCTCTACTCTCAGGGCATTCATCCTTAGCAAAACTCACTTGAAGTGATGCCAGGCATGGTACAAGGCACTGAGGTCCTGGTTGTGCAGAACTGCATCACACAAATGTCACCAGGAGGAGATGAAGAGGCTCCAGCCCGAAGTCCACATGCCTCATGGCTGAAGGGTAGTGGGTTTGCAGTACTTGCACTGGATCCACACCCGATACATCGTCATCTGTTTCCCACGGTTCACTTGTAATCGCCGATCAACCAGATTCTGGATTTTCTCCAGTCCAGCTGTGGTGAACAGATGATCTAATTCATCTGGAAGCAGAGAGAAGGAGACTGAGGAGACCATAGCTTTTCTTTAACTGATACCTGCTCACACTGAAGGCTAAGCTAAGCTGAAAGATGGGCCAGAGGAAACCCACAGTCTCACCCTAGCAGGGAAATGAACAAACAAGACTTAACTACTTTACTAGGGGAGTGTTTCAAGTTTTCCTTCTAGCAAAGGAAAGAATTATTTGGAGTTCATCTAGAACTACAGACACTTGACAAAGAAAACAGGAGCAGTTTCAAATATGGGTACTGCTTCTAGTAAGCAATTAAGGGGTATCTTCTGGCAAGCTGGGACAGAGCCATTCCCACCTTCCCAGAGGAATTTCAGAGTCTGCAAGAGCAAAGACCAGGATCAGACCTATGCTTTTAAATAGCGGAAGTAAGATCTGTGCTGCCTAGACTGGAGGAGAATGGGATTCATTAAGGTTAAATTTGGAAATAAAAAATCCTTAAAAACCCACACCCTGTTGGGGCCCAATTAAAGTACTAAGAGCCCTCAAGGCTTCAGCAATTCCATTGGCAGATATTCCTGACCAAGCAAGTAAGTCTCACAGTGCCCCAGTCTTGCTGAGCAGCAGAGCTTACTCCCAGAGCATATGGTTTGTCTGGAGTTTCAGTAGGAAAAGTCTGACAGGTCTCAGCTTGTGCTCTTTTATCAGATGCCTTCCATTGTGAGGTGTTTGCCAAACACGTGTTAAACACTAATTTTGTTGTGCCAAACAAGACTCATGCAGTGGGGAACAGTTCAATTGTGCCACTGCTCTAGAACTGACTTTGCATAGGGGCCTGCAGTGGAGGGGTTGGAGATGCAGCTGGTGATAAACTGGGAGAATAACAACTGCTGCTAACACCAAGCAGCAGCAGAACTGGAGGGGCTGCCTTAGCTCCATGTTGAACCACACCCTTCTGATTTCCTTATCGGAGAACAGGAAAATTAAGGGAAATTCTTCTAAGTGGTATCCATCCCCCTCCATCATCTGCATCCAACATACAAGGATGACTCCCCCAGTCCCACCCCTCCCAGGATGGCAACCACACCAGTCTTCCTCTTAAAATATTTTCCACTAAGGAATTGACCAGGCCATGCTTGCATCAGGAGCTGACAAGCCCAGGTCACTGTTTCATTTGGAATCACTTAACATTTCACAATGCTCCAGTTAAGAGGCTGGAGAGATCTAGTGGCCAAACTGGAGGGCACAGGGACAAGAAGTGGTAAGGAGAATCAGAAGGATGTTTTTCAATGGTCAGAGGCATGTTTCTGGCCCCCTACCTTGTGTGAAGAAGTAGACTCTAGTGCCATCACCTCTCACATAGAAGTTATCAGACAGACATTGACCTAAGGGCAAGATGGATGTGAACAATTACCAGTGATCAATTAAAAATCAACAATTGCCATCCAACAACAGTACACACAGTGCTTTGGGGAATTCACGAGCTGCAGAATCTACTAGTGATGGGGCAGGAGTTCCCAGGGGAATGGAAATACCTTTCTTAAATCGAAGTTGGGCGAGATCATAACGACCGTAATCTCGTAACAAGATCATTCCCCCTGGTTTCAGAAGACGACTCAGTCTGGTCACAATGCACTGCATCCTGAGAGAAGAACGAGAAGAACAAACCAGGAGCTCTCAACACACTGCAAAATCATGCTTGGCTCCTTCCAAAAAGATGAAATAAAGTTTTACATGTTCCAACTTCATATAAAGAGCTATCCAAAGTCCACAGCATTCTGAGCTCTCCCAGAGTCAGATGGGTTGATTTTATTCGGCCTCTATTTTTTGACATTCCCCAATTTTAGTTTTTTTTCTACAAGGATAACATCCTGTCAGAGCAGGGATTAACTGCTCTCTCTTACTAATTACAAAAGAATCTCCACTGGTTTCTGTAAAACAAGTAATAAGTGAACTTGAGGAGAAGTGTTGTGAAGTAAAACTAAAAGGAACAAAAAAAGAGACTAGCGTAGGTTGTAACAACTATCACACTAAGACCACAGCACTTTCCTTACCTTTTTTATGAACCTGAACCCTTCTTTCTTGCCACCTCCCATGTGAGAAATTCATCTACCCTCCGAGCCTGAAAATCCAGCAGAATACTTTCCAAAGTGAGTGCTCAGTGTGGCTGGGGCTCAGGACAGTGACTCCGGCAACGATCACCTGCAGCCACTTAAAATCATCCTGTCCTCTGCCAAAATTGGTTACAACAGCAATAGCAAATACCTGCAAATTTAATTTTCTAAGGCTTCATGGAAAACTGGACCACAAACAGAACAAACTTTAATTTTCCTTGATTGGAGATTATTAGAGAACTCCAGTTGTAGAAGAATTATCTTCTGCAATCAGAAGTAATTATTAAAACTTACTTCTCTGGGAGAATTGCTGAGAGGACAAAGATAAGAATAACAATGTCAAGACTCTCTTCTGGCATTGGGAAGGGACTTTGGTCATTGCACAGGTCATGGACAAATGCAAAGCAGCGAGAAGCATCATATTCTGCATTGTTCTGTATTTGAGGGAAAGAAATTAAGAACATTAATAGCAGACTCTGATCTCAGTATTAGCTGGACTATATGTATTATTAATATTATAAGGTGTATTTTAACTATTGCATTATGAAGAGGTGTGTCCAGAAATCTGTTTCAGCCTCATTGGACTTCCGTGTCAGGTATATTCCTTGGTCAGGCAAGGAACATGTGTGAAATGTGAAAAAATATTTATGGGAGATTTACAAGGAGCTTTGGTCTTGTTACAATCAGCACTGAAAAAACCCGCCAAACTGATACCACAATCCTGAGGTCAGAATTTCCACTAACAGTGGTAAGAAGTGAGACGTTTATACTAATGAATTAGAAACCTTTACATAAGTGAGAGTGTCAGGCCACCTTTCTGCATCATTGAAATCAGTATTCATTTCACCTACAAGCAGGTATTCCCTATACCCCAAAAATCAAACTTGGTTGCCTAAAGTTACAGTCGTAAAAATCAGATATAGATGTATTTTAGAAGTTGCATATTTTTCTAGAAGCTGCAGCTCTACAAACAATGTTTGTGTCACATCCAGAGGAGGAAATGGATGATGACTCTGGTGCTATGCTCCCCTCTCATCTCAGGGAGTGACTGATTGCATTTGATACTTCATATATTCTCAGTTCTGCCTTGACCTGAAATTTATTAGTGATATTTGTCCTTTGACTAAATCCCAGCCTCCTGCTCCACAAACATGATCTTTCCTCAGCTGCCTGTGCAGAAGCAATCAGACCATGTTCCCAGAACTGTGGTGACAGTAAGACACACACAAACCAAAACCAGCTTCAATTCCTGTTAAAAAGTAGCCTGAATGTGTCCAAGTTTCGAGTTTGTTTTCTAGTTACTCAGCTAAAAGAACACTGTATTGAGAAAAGTACTGCCAACCACAGGGGAAGAAAAGCTGGCTGACTTGTTTGCTGCCAATGTGACATCATTATGTGACATAGGGAACTTTTACTTCCCTAGTTTCTACAATCTTTGATGGCTCGTTTTTCAGATTTCCCAATGCAAGGGTCAGCACCAGGGCTGGCTAAAACCAGAAAGCTGCCAGCACAGCCAGAGAGTCACTGGCAGCTGGGATAGATTTGTGTTAATGGGCAATTAGCCCCTGATACTTCCCACGTTTTCATGAGTCACCATTGAGATTACCTGGACAAGATGCACAGCTGTTGTAGAAAAATCACAGCAATAAACAAACAGGCCTGGGTCACTGCAATAAATGAAAGAAACTCATAATTTATACAAAGGAAACACTCCTGTGTTTCAAATGCACAAAGCCCAGAAATTCTGGGCTTTAGTTTCTGGGCAAAATCTGGTGGATTCCATTGCTCCTTTATGCCCATTATTCTCATATGGAACTGACTGCTTCCTTTTCCTTCTGGATCTAAAACCAAGGGCTTCCAAGCTCAAAATACAATAACCTAAAATTGCAGATGATACCATTCGTTTTTGGCTTTTCTCTGAGATTGTCTAAACTAGGAAGACAGGGAAAATTTTTCCAATTGTTTTTACAGAAGCTGGTATTTGATGCAGGTAAAAGCCTACTGAGAATTACTTCAAAGAATCCCAGAATGGTTTGGGTTGGGAGGGACATTAAAGATCATCCAGTCCCACCCCTAGCATGGGCAGAGACACCTTCCACTAGACCAAGGTGCTTCAAGCCCTGTCTAATCTGACCTTGGACACTTCCAGGAATGGGGCAGCCACAGCTTTTCTGGCCAACCCATGCCAGGACCTCCCCACCCTCACAAGGAACAATTCCTTCCCAATATCCCACTTATCCCTGCCCTCTGGCAGTGGGAAACAATTTCTTCTTGTCTTGTCACTACTTACTTGTTGGTTTGTAAAATTGGGAAGACTGTATTCCCAGCCCCACAGCCAACCTGCAAAAACAAAGCAGAGTTATACAGTGAAAATAATTCCTTCAGCGTGTTCATGCAAATTATTTTCAATCATCTCTCTACAGCCAAGGAACAAAGAGCAACACATGAGTAAAGCTGAGCATGGCAGTGACCATTCTTAAGTGTCCCTGCAAGATCTGAGCATGTTAAGGTCTGAGGAACAGGATTACATGAGTGGGAAATCACTAAGCAAGTTCTTATCGAAATCTTAAAACAAGCTATATGCTGTTACTCTTTAGAAAGCTGTTTTTGCTGGAAACCCAAGCATAACAATCAGTATGAGTCACTGAAGCACTGGCAAAGGCCATGGATGAGTTACATTCAAGTCCATTGAAAATCAGAGCAACAGAGAAGTTTACTTTTCTTTCTGCTTGTTCCCATTTGAAGAGATGATGGCTCACACAACTGGGTTTGGGGAATTTGCCTCTGAATGTTTAAAGGATCAGTAAAATTTAAACAGACTGAGCAGAAAACACCACAGAGGGTTTGCAGTAACAGATGTTAGTTAAAGTGCTCACGTGAGATAGGAAAGGCACTTTGAGAACACCAAAGTCTGAGGAAATCTTTAAAATGTCAGATTAAATTCAAAAATCAGGACAGTTCATACTAACCCTCCCTGGAAGGGCAGGACTTTCATATAATACTAAGTATTAAACAAATCCAGTAATATCTACAATGAGCAACTAGAGGTGGCAGAGCAAAAGGTCACAATCAGCTGTCAGCAGTCCAATATTTATAACTTCCACAAACTTCTCTGGAACAAAGCCTGTATCAGTCTGGGATTCCCTGTTACCATAAGGGCTCTAAGGAACAAACCCAAGAGCATCTTTACATTCTTGGCTTCATCGCTTTGTTTCACAACTCCCAAGGCAAACAGGAGTCAGCACAAACATGCAAAAGATAAATGACAAGGGAAAGCTTTATACAGAGTAGAAGAATCAGCTTCTTCAAAAGCTGACTTTTAAATGCTTGTTGGAACATCTGATAGCAATAGTTTGGCTTTCAAATTTGTAAACTTCTTACGGTCCCTGTGCTCTGCCAATTCAGAGTCTGAACCAAAGGAATCCAAACAGATTTAGTTCAGCTCTAAACTACCCTCTGATTTTTGCATTTTACTGACTGAAGGCAATCATCTGCTCCCTTGCTGTTTGGCAGTGATGCACATTTTTATGTCCCAGTCACACTGACACAAAGGAGGCTTTGATGTGTGACTTTGATTTATACCTCTTACCTCTAATATACGGTAAGATGCAGCTAATCCTGGGTAATCCCCACCATTCTGACTCAGCTCGCTGTCATTCTGTGCAGCCAACTCTTCCGTGTGGCCCCTAGGCGGGCTTTTTATCAGGTTTAACTGACTCCCTGTCCTGGTTTCCAATGAGCAATGGCCATTTTCACAGCTTCCCAGCCCTTCATTGTTGGATTCTTCTGTGTTACTAAATCCACTCCCAGAATCTCCATTTTGGCTTGAGCTCCTGTTAGGTGCCAGCTCAGGAAATTCAGTGAACAGCCAGTGCCTGTCCTTGAAGAAGCCATTTTCATGGATTTTATAGAAGTCATCCCAGTATTTCTTAGCATTCACCTCGTATTCCTCTGTGAACACAAGCAAAAACATCACCAGGCATCAAATCAGAAGGTCTCAGGGTTTAAACAGTTCAGAGAGTGAGGGATCACTGCAGATATCTGCAGCAACCTGCTGTAACAAGTGAGATTGACTGAAAGTCACCTTTATTTAAAGTCCCAATCCCACATAAACACTCAGCCTATGTCACAGTCACTTTGTTAGGACTTAAAAAGGGAAAAGAGAGAAGAAGAAATTCTGTCTCAAGGTAGGATTTAAAGGAAGCTGGCAACAGAAAAAGTGTCTTTGAAGGAGACTGGAATGAAGAAATCCAGGTTTTACTTCCATCTCTAACACTTAACTTGTTCAGTTCACTGGAACAATTAATTTGGAGTCTGGTGACATTAAGTGTCAAGCACAACTCCCAAGGAATTTCGTGAGAGCTGCCTGTAGTTGAAAGCTTCTGTCCAACACACTGCTCCTATTTTCAGGTGTAGAAACAGAAAAATTAGTCAACTCTGCAGGCCTGGCAGGAAGCTCAGTTAGAATTTATGCAACCCTTCAGGTAGCAGTACAGCATGATTTCCATGTTTTGCTGGAGTCTAGTCCAGATAACTTTGTTTTCCATAGTTCTGTGAATGTCAGAGCATCACATATTTATGAACTAAAACAAAAGAGGGGAGTCAACCATGACCACTGCATTGAAGTACCAGTGGAGAGCTAAAGTGGAGAGGCTAAAGATGAACAGAATTAATTTGAGCAGCAGCACCTTCACATCAAATGGATCATTCCAGGAGCAAGATGAGTATTACAGGGAGCTGGAACAGCTCTTACAAAGCCATAACCAAGTGAAATTTGTGTCTGCGAACTTATTTCCACACACTTTCACAGATTTCAGATCAAGTACAGTCTAAGGGACCTATTTCTTCCATGGGAAGCTGCAAATCCAAGCGACTTTCTATGACTTCATCAATGTGTTAAGTTCTCTGTCCTGGGAATTAACACCTAATCATAGCATTTTATGCTTGGAATCACCTAGAGACATTCACATCCATGGCCAGAAATTCCAATTGCATTCCAATAACCAGTAATGCCTCAATCATCTCTGCATGGCAACAAGCGCATTACTGAATAAAAATGATTGGAGGGCATTATTGGCTGAACTGCTGTTTATTTATCAGTCTTCCTGAAGAACATAAAACTGTTTCAAAGTGAGATAATAAAGTGAACTCAGAACACCTGGAAAAATATGTAGCCTCAGCCAAATATAGACAAAAATTGCTTTAACAAAGATGCACCAATCAGTCATATGTCTATTTTTAGTAGGTTCTATCCCTGCAGCACAAAGAGCTATATATAAAAATAATCTCTTTACCTCAAGTACAAGGATTTTCTCCTTTTAAGAAGCCTGGTTCTTAAACCCCAAACTGAAGGAAACTTTAATGACCAATATTAGACACAAGCAGTAAGTTTGTGCCATGATCTCACAGCCAGCAGGGCAAGGTCAGTTCACTGTTTGCATGGAAGAAGTCAATGACTGCTGATGCTGGAAGAAGTGCTGTTGATCCAAACCCTGGCATGCTCTGTCCTGAACTTTCTCACATTTACAAGCAAGGCTTCTGGGGCTGCAACGCTCTTTCACCTAACAAAAACACAAATCCTGATTCCTGCTCATCTCCACCAATCCCATGACAGCCTGACTGCAGTGGAATGCTTACCTGAGATGCTGGGACGAAATTCCAGCCCAGCCTTTTTGGATTGCCCACATTTTTGCCACAATACACTGGTGAACAAGACATTGTGCTCTTCCTTTGTTACATTAGTGTAAAATTCTGTTGAATGCTATTGAAGAGCTGTTACACTCCAAACCACATGTGCGGAAGCCTTATTTAAAGCTCATTTACCTTGGAGCCTGGTGCTTTCAAAGCCCTGAATGAAGGATCAGTAACAATACAAATACAAAAAATCAAGGGCCAGCTGACAAAGATCATACAAGAAACAGATTTAAGCAATAATATGACTATGTTCATTTTTCAGTAAGACTTCTAGCCAGAAAAGTTCACATCATACTTATTTCAGTCCCTTTTTGGGGTATTAGCGCACAGTGCCATTGGTGTGCAAGCCAGTTTCCTCCAGATACTTTCCTGATAAGGACTCCTGAGTTTCTGCTCACCTTTGTAAGCACACCCCCAAAGCCAAGCCCATAGTCACCCCTTCACACTGCAAAAGAAGAACAAACAAAAGTAACTGTCCACAAAGACCAGAAGGGAATTGTGGACCTCCTAAATTGCACAGGGGCTAATGATGGAGCCTCAAAAGGAAACCAAGAAACATGGACTTCTTTCTCTTTCTTTTCCCAGCCAGAAGACACATCTTCCACATACTCACAGAGCTTCCCTCCTTCTTCAGAACAAATCCTGACATCCCCAAGAAGTCCACAGAATAGTACAGCCATAACGACCACAACTCTGCCTTTGTTCTTCTCTGGACATCTTAATTCTCAAACTACCAGACCCTTCAGGCACATCTGCCTGGGCTGCTTTCCTAACTTTCCAGACATCACATTGTCTCCACATGCTTCCCAGTGAATAGTTACCATCAACATTTGACTGGCCTCCATTGTTCAATCTGGGAAATACATCATGGAGCACTGACAAACTGCTCCAACAGCCTTTTTTTTTTTTTTTTTTTCAAATTCAAATTGTGAATTGCTTCACAATTTCCTTGTTGTATATAGATTCTCAAAGCATGGCAGACAGCACCCTTTAATGCTAACCAGATTTTAAAATGAACTCAACACAATGGGCATCACAATGGAACACTGCTGGATACTTCTAGGAGTCCAAGAAATTAGGAGGATTACTCTTTGGTGTAATTAAATTTGCTCTTGTGAACAAGACTCGAAGCTATATGGAAGTGTCTCAATAGTTCCAGTAGTGCTCAGTATCATCTTAGGGGTGACACACTTGATTTAATTTGAACAAAAGGAGCAGACCCACCCTAGAGCTTGGCAGGGTATAACAAGAAAATCATCAGACAAGTTCTTATCACACTAAAGAACCATTTCACCATCATTTGAGGGACTAGATTATCTCTACCAGGTATGGAGGAAATGCATTATTAACCATCTCAGAATAGCTTCAACCATGACTTAACCACAGAGCTGAGCACCTTAAGCTTGATTCAGAGACAGGTAAGCTCTGCATTTTGGATTGATAAATATCCTTTAAATCAAATAAAAGCTCTGGAATCTCTTGGCTGTCTATCTGAGGATAAACAATCAAGATAAAGGAAGTTTTCTTTCTCTAATTAAATTGTTCTCATGCAGTTTGTTCACTCTGTAGAGACAGATATGGATGCTACTTCTCTTAGAAGGCTAAGAGAAAATCAGCTTGGATCAGGGCTCACTCCATAGCAAGCTTGCAAAAAGAGACTGGCTACTAGCAGTTAAGCTTTAAAGAGCAGAAATAAGCAGAGGTAACAACTCTACACTCAAAGAGGTTTGTTGACAACAAACACTAACAAGTATTTAACATACTCAACATGACAAAGAAGCTCAACCTAATCTGACTCCTCCCAACCAGGAGGAGACTCCAGTGAAGGCTGAAAAGTCACAAAAAGGTAAATTAAGGACAGAAAGGTTCCTTCTCCTCAATTTCCCATTATCAAACACGTGTTAATGCCTTCTGAGTGACTGGGAAAGGGGGAAGGGGAGGAATTGGTGATGTTCTGATGTGGTTCCAGCCAGACTGTTCCATTCCTGGCACAAAGCCATGACTCGAATGAAGACACTCTCCAAAAGTACCTTGTTTATCTTGCGGCAATAGCTGTGAGCTGTTCTCTTGAACTTTACTCCTGGCACTGGCTTCCTGCTCTTCTGACCATTCCACATTATCCCTGTTGTGAAAAACAAGATGAAATAGAGCTAAGCATAGTGGGACAAAGACAGAAGGAAAGAGAAAGGTCTGGAGAGCCCTCCAAATGGACAGGGGTGCAGGTGTGATCCCCAATTCCAGTCCAGCACCAGCACAACAACCTAGTCAGCACAGGTCCTAGTCCTAAAGGTACTCATGGAATTGCAAACAGAAGGAATCCCAAATCTGTCCCATTTTGGATGCTCAGTCAAATTTAAAGATAATAGATCCTTGCTAAAACCATGAGGGGACTCAGCACAAAACTACATCTTTTTAAGTTAAAACAAAAAAGGCATTTGGGTTATTTGGAAGGTAACTGTTAAATTAAATCAAATTATAAGAAAAATATGCAGTAAGCTTTAAAGCATTAAGAATTATTAATAACTTCAATGCACATACACAGCTATGTAGTCATTAAAGTGATTCACTTTGCTTTTTTTCATTAAAACGAGTGAATGATAAGCAGTTCAAGGCCCAAGAAGCAGTTCTTGTCTCAGAAGGAATTAGTCTTTTGATTTTAACTCACAAAACAAAGGCTTAAATGTTAAGTCTGTGAAAAAAAAAGACTAAGAATTTCCACAGGAAAACTAAGGATATGCTTTTGTAATGTACCTTTTGTATAGAATAGTCCCAGAAGGAATGACAGGCTGACACATATAAATATTACTTAATTACAATTTAAACACACCCAAATCTTAACAATGTATAGCAGCCAGAGACCAAGTCAAAAAAAAGAGTGGATCCATTTACCTGCAAAATGCAAAATACCTTCAGTTCCCAGCAAATTAGAGAACCCGGGTGTTTAACTGACTTAAAACAACTTCTGTATCCAAATAAAGTGTTCCTGTTCCAAGCATACACCTGGCACAACATCACTGAAGGAATGACAGGTTATAGATTTCTGACAGCCGGTAATTAACCTTTATTAACCACAGCAATAAAACAATTGCTACAACCACAGGACCCTGAGGAATGCTACTGCTTCAGGAGGGGCTGAGAATGGCTGAGAATCCCTGTCGATCAGTCCTGAAGGCTCAGGACACCCTAGGGGGATCAATCCCAAAGGTTCAGGACCTCCCAGGAGATCAGTCCCCAAGGCTCAGAATCCCACAGAGAGCCATCCCAAGTGCTCAGGACCCTCTGGGGATCAGAACTCCCAAGCACCGGCCGCATAGGGCAGTGTCCTGCCCGGGGATGTCGGTCCCCGCCCGCCGGCAGTCGCTGTCCGGCCACCAGCCCTACATCCACCGCTCCCTCAGCCCGCTCGGCGCCCTGATGGTCTCTCAAAGCACGTCCGGAGAGGACGGCGGACACCGCGGTCAGGGCCTCGTGAGGCGGAGTGGTTGGGGGGTGGTTGAGGCTGGCCCATTACACAGCGTTTGGCCACAGACACCGCAAACCGGAGAGGCGACGGCGAGCCCGCCCCGGCCACCCCCACCCCACTGCCGGGCGCAGGGCGGCACCACAGGGTAGCAGCACCCCGGCTGCTCACGGGGGTCTGGAGCGGGCAGCGGCGGCAGCCCTCACGCACCAGGCGTTGTGCTGGAAAAGCCGGGCGGGGTCGGTGAGGAGCCGCCTCCCGAAAGGCCGCCGCTCCCGCGCCTCGCTGGGCGCCGCCATGACGGGCCGGTCCAAGCCGGAAACGGAAGCGGCGCCGCGCGGTCTGACCCGCAGGAGAACTGCGGGCGGTGGCCACGTGGGAAGCGTGGTCACGTGGGGTGATGCTGCGGGAAAATGTCCCGGAAATGCCTTTTGTGGAGTTTATCCCGCATTTCAGGGAGTTCCGGAATGGGACAGACTGGAACGGACTACAGGGATTCGTCTGGTTCGGCCTTCCTCCTCCAGTAGGGTTATTCCAGAGTACATGGCACAGAATCCCAGAATGGTTTGGGTGGGAAGGGACCTTAAAGACCATCCTGTCCCACCCCCTGCCATGAGCAGGGACAACTTCCACTAGCCCAGGTGGCTCCAAGTCACGTCCATCCTGGCCTTGACACTTTCAGGAATTCAGGGGCAGCCACTGCTACTTTGGGCAACCTGTGCCAGGGCCTCCCCAACCTCAATGGGAGGAATTTCTTCCCAATATCCCATCTAACCCTACTCTTTCAAATTGAACACATCCCCCCTCGTCCTCTTACAAGGCATAATAGGTTCAAATTCAAAAGATTTGAACGGATTGTGCAGGACTGCCTCCACAGAGTTTTGGAATATCTACAGCAATAGTCTCCAACAATGAAAGCTCAATACCTCTGGGCAACCTGTTCAAGTGCTTGGTCACTGTACAATGAAGAAGTTCTTCCTCATGTTCAGATCGAACTTCCTGGGCATGAATTTGTGCCTGTTGCCTCTTGTCCTATTGCTCAGCACCACTGTGCAGTCCATCTTCTCAGCATCCCTTTAGGTATTTATTTATTTGGCCTTCTAGGAAGAGGGAGAGAAGATGAAGGAGGAAGGTGGGAAGTTGAGGAGACCACTAGGATGATCAGAAGGACAGAACACCTCTTGTACAAGGAAAGGCTGAGAGAACTGGGATTATTCAGCCTGGAGATGAGATGCTCTGAGGCCGTTTCCAGTACCTGAGTGAAGTCTGCAAAACAGATGGAGAAAGACTATTTATAAGGGCCTGGAGTGACAGGACAAGGGGGAATGGCTTCACACTGATGGGGCAGGGTTAGACAGGATACTCTAAGAAATTCTTCACTGTGAGGGTGGGGAGGCCCTGGCATGGGGTGCCCAAAGCAGCAGTGGCTACCTCTGGATCCCTGGAAGAGTCCAAGGCCAGGCTGGACAGGGCTTGGAGCAGCCTGGGATAATGAAGGTGCCCCTGCCCATGACGGGTGGATCACCTACAAACCATTCTGGGATTCTGTAATTTTGTTCACAGCGTGCAAAAAGGGAGGCACAGGGTGACCCACCTCTTTCAAAATTTTGTGAGGCTTCTTTCTGCAACACTTGAGGGAGTCTCCATCCATCCATCCATCCATCCATCCATCCATCCATCCATCCATCCATCCATCCATCCACACTGGCTGGTGTGGTCCCTGAGCTCCTGTGGGTAGCAACCAGAGGACAAAAGAGGGCAACATGGGCTTCTGAAACAGTCTAGCCACACTCAGCACCAGCTGCTGCACCCATGGCTTTGGAAGGATCTGGTACCTTGGGGGTTTAAACTGCACAGGGGTGTGACATGCCTGTGGTGGCACTGCCTTCGCTGAGCAGACGGCAGCTGTGTAGATGCTTTTGGATGTGCAACCGGATATAAAGCTTTTCCGGAAATCTCATCTTGGGACTCCTGTATTTTGTGTATGTTTTTATTTATGTAATAAAATACCCCAGAAAAGAGGGGCACTTCCCTCTCTATCCCACAAACGCAATCTATCAATCTTCATAATTTGAAACAATTCTCCCAGGGCAGAGTTGCCAAATCCACCCATTTCCCAAATGCTTAGAGGTGGAGGATTCCTCTGGTAATCCAAGCCTGAGTAATTTTTTCCTACGGGCTGAAGAGGAAGAGAGCGGTCAGAGTTTTCAGAGCTCAAAGGGAGCAGAGATCCCAGCAGCCTTGAGAAGATCATGTTATGCCATGGGGATCCATCCCCATTTTTCACAGTGCTGGTTAGGTATCTGGCAGGGAGGACAATCTCTGCAGTTTATCATTAGCCAGAAAAGGTAAGGTTGTCTTTTTCTGTGTCCCATCTAGTAAGAGAAAAGCTTGACCTCTGCTCTTACAGCCAGGAGCATCTGGAAAAAACTGGAAAAAGGGAAAAAGTGAGAATCTGGAATAAATCCAGGTGCAGAAATCCCCATCATAGCATGGTGACCCTGTGGCACCTGGAGCTACAAAAATAAGGTATTAGACCCTGCTGAGACAGGGGAGGATGATTTTTTGTTATAGCATACAGGTGGACTGTAGCTGGGCAAACAAATAAAAAAGAAACCCAGTTTGGCTCTCCTAGTTTGATAAACAAGTGCCTGGGTGAGCAATGACAGGATAAATTTGAATTCAAGTAGAGCATCCCAAGTAGTATTTTTCAATCTTGAAAGCAGATGTTATCACTCGTTAAGAAGCTGCGTAGTGCTGAAACTTCAACCAATCAGTTGTCCAGGCATGGGAATTTTGAACCCCCTATAAAGGTGGGTTCTGAACAATAAATCTTTTGTTTGTCTCACATTCATCAGACTTGATTTGTGAATCCATCTCCAGCTTACAACTGCGTGTAACATGTGGTGCCCCGTGTGAGCACACAGCCATCCCACGAGCAGACCGGGAGAGACAGAGGACAGCATGCGCAGCCTGTCCAAGCAGCAAAAGAAAGCTGAGAAAGCGAGGTGTGGAGGTAAAGCTGTCCAGCAATGGAAAGTTGCAAAAATACATGAGCAGAGCTGTTTGTGGCAGAATAACAAATACAGATTCCTTTGTATATATATTTCGTTCAAATCCAGATTTCTTTGTATATATCCCTGTATATAGAAAACAGTGCCAAAGACACGGAAGAGTGGTTTTCGCTGAAAGAAAACCCAATTAGGAAGCCTTTTTTTACTTTAACGGAGAATAAAGCATGAGCAACAGGCTTAAAAAGCGGCTGTGGACACTGCAGATGTTATAAAGCCGTGGAAGCTTGTTTCAAACTTGACGGGGCCGTTAGAAGCCGAGCGGAGAAGGGACGGCAGTAGAAAGGCCGCGGACACAGCACGCCGAAAAGCCGAACAGCTCCAAGATGGCGGTCGCCAGGTGGCGCAGAAGCTGCTCCCGCTCAAGATGGCGGAGCCCGTGCGCCGTCCGTGTAGCCTGCCAAAACATCCCAAAAAGGCGAAGCGCGGGGGGCAGCCCGCAGGAGAGAAGATGCCACATCGGGCAAGTGGGGGCAGGGGCCAAAGTCGTGCCTGCATTGCGCCCGGCACTCCCGGGCGCCCACCTGATCCCAGAAGCATCGCAGCGCCAGAAGCCGGAAGAGAAGCCGACAGCCCCACCGCCGGGCCCACCCGTGCCCGCTCGTGCCACGCGTAGAGCCGCTGGCGCACGGGGCCGCGGGCCGCCTCACACCACCGCCCCCGCAAGACGGGCGAGAAACCGAGGCCGTTATCCTTCGGAGCTCCCCCACCTCCGGCAGCGCCGGCAGCATTTGCACCACGCGCGGGTTCGCCCGCGCCGCGAGCGCCTCAACCACCACTATCGCCGCCGGGTGCATACTCGGAGTGCCCGGGACCGCCTGCGCGCCGGCTGCAAAAAACATGGCTTTGTTACACGCTCCTCGTCACCATGGACGCGCTTGGCACGCCCACTTCCAGCTTCGGCGCGCAGGCAGGAGCCGGAAGTCAAGCGGAGCGCGACGCCGGAAATGCCGCTGCAAAACTGCGCGCGCCCAAACCTAGAAGCGCCGGTAGGGAGCTACCGGTACCCAGAACCCCGGAGCCCATGTCGTGACAAAGCCAGAGCTCGAAAAACCTACAAGCAGCCAGCGCCCGAAGAGCTGGGGAGCCCTGCAGGCCGCGGGCGGCCGCGAGGAGCTGCAGAGCGGAGCGGGGCCACCGCATGCCGAAAGCTTCCCTGAAACAAACGCAAAATTTCGTTGCCCAGCAACCACAGCAGCAGCCGTGTCTGTCCCTTCTGCGCCGCCAATGGACGTAAGGATGCCAGGGCTGTGGAAGGAAGACTACAAGATAACCCCCCGTCCCCCGATCCGTTTAGCCCTAGAGGGAACCTTGACAGTATCACGAAAGAACCGGCGCCGCCCCGTGCTATGCAGCCTCAGCTGGAGCCGTGTAGCGGCGAGTGGCTGGGGTCGGGGGGGCGCTTCCTAGTAGGGTGCCCCCTCTTGGCCTGCCCTCTGCGAAAGCGGAGCGGCGGCGATAGAGGCGGAGGGAGGGGCGACCCGGAAAGCCCGGTGGCACCGGCGGGGGCGGTACCGACACAGGCAGTGCCGTGTCCCCGCTCCTGCAACAGCGAGAGTTCCCGTCTGCTGTGCATCCTAGTAAACTGATATGGTGCTGAAGAAAAGACCTGTCTGGGCGGGTAACCCCATCCTAGGGGAGGGGTCCCAAGTAGCCCCCCCCAGCCTCCTGGGGTGGTCCTTCAGCAGCTGCCGCAGGTCCCGTTCCTGCTTCCTGAGACGCGAGGGACGGCGGTGTGACGGCACAGCCGAGCAGACACAGCCGTGTTAAAGAGATGCTGCGATCGAGACGCGGCGAGCAGGGCTGTCCCGGCCGCCGCCGCCTGCCACGGCCTACTCAGCCATGGCAATGCAAGTGCTCAGCATACAGAGCAACCCCAGGAAGACTACCCACGAATTGAGACACATTAAAAAAGCTCCTTTAGTAGTTTTCAAACACCGGACACAGCAAAATTGTCCATAAAAACAAGTACTCATCTAATATTGGACTCTTATGTGCCTTCAACAGCTTTAGTCCTCATGCTATGACTGACAGTATTTTTTCTTCTCAAATGTACATTGAAGTTTCGATATAATACTGTGTAATATTTAAATAGGTAAATTTAATAGTTTTCTTCTGTATAAAACTCACAATATTTTTTCAGGCTGTCTTTTACCCTCCACAGAAAAAGAAGCACCAAGGTATTTATTTTCCTCTTCCAAAAGTCTTACAATTTCATTTATAAGATTTCAAAATAAAGTTTTGTTCTC